GTGGGCGGCAGCCTGAGGACTTGGGCTAGGCGGGGCTACTCCGCTCGGCGGCGGCCGTTGAAGGGGGGCGCCCATTTGTCGGTACTTGAAATGGCCTCGGGCGGGCTGGGCTCCCTTTTGCCTGCCTCAGCTCCTCGAGTAAAAGTTTCTTTCCGCGTGAGGCCGTCCCTGAGGAGAGCGAAGGGCACCGCTTCCTAGCGGTAGCGTCCGGGCGTGGGCGGAGCGCTTCTTCTGGGGGTAATTAACCGAGAGCCTTTAATAAAAGTGTCGCTTAAGACCTTTAGTTAGGAAGGCAGCATTTTACGCTGTTATGATCACTGTGAAGCACCGTGTAGGGTAAGAGCTGTAAAGAGAAGGTTCTTTCATGTGAGAAATGTAGTTCCTGCGTGTTGCTAGTTCCATGGGTGATTTAATGGCTACTACCATTAAAAACACTTCCATGTTTAGAAAGATAGCAGCAAACAGCTCCTAAAAACTAACCTCATGTAGAGATTGTTGGAACATCTCAATTATGTATTTCCTCTCTCTTTATGTTACAAGCAAATTCAAATGTTTATATCTTATTGGAAAAAGTGCATATTTTAAGAGTCAATGCTTTGCTCCAAATTTAGGAGAAAACCCTGTGTGTACACATTACACCCAATATGACTTTTCTCTATGTAATCGTTGGGTGTGATGCATGTAGTTTGTTGCTGTCTGACATATGCTACAACCTACTGATAATAGACAATTGCATGCAGCAGGATGTACCAATGAGGTTCTGAGGTTAGAGTCACCCTTCTTAATCTCAGATTAATGATCCTTGTTATTTTATAATATACTCATCCTCTTTTCCAAATAGAGAAGGAAATGCTTATCTGGAGTTTTTGTTCTTTTTAAGTCAAGGATGTTTTCTTTTTGGTGAACAATAGTAGTCTGTTCATTCTCCTTGATTTATACCAAAAATTTGCCAGCATTTGCATGTCCTCTTTCCAAAAGATGAATTTCCAGCATGTGGAAGAGATCCCTTTAGGGGCTATCTGACAGATTAAAAAGCTACACTGCGCAAATTCTGAGTCTAGATACTAGTATATAATAAACTCTTACTCAGATCAGCAGATAGATATGCCCTATTGCTCCTGCTATGCAGATGAAATTGAAATGTAGAGAAAGTGAAGAAGATAACACATGATATAGAAATAATATATATTTTTTTTGTCAGCTGGGTTATGCTTACTGGTATACTGCAGTTGCAAAATATAGAAATAGTTTAAACCTTTGTTTCTAGATAAGAATATCCTTGATTGTAGAATAATTATCTACTATTTTCTCACTGCTTGTGTTTATCATATAGAAAGGATATCTTTTCATGTAAATTTTATCTGCAAAACCTAGTTCTGATATGAAGAAATTAAGCTTTATATTTTCCATTTGTTATTAACTTGTTGATTCCATTCAACAACTTGCCTATGTGAAATGCAGATTCTAAAATGGATTAGGAAGATTTGGAGTGAAAATTCCCTAAGGAAAAAATAAGGGAAATACCAAAGGGTGTTTTTTTTTTTTTTTTTTTTTTTTTAATTAAAACTCACCTAAAGCATAAAAGGTACGCTTGGAACTTAATCTGCAAGTATGTTTGTCATAGTTCTTAAAACCGTGGAGTCTAGAGACTTGGGGCGAAAATTCTAGTATTGCTAAAATAGTAGCAGTCTTTAGAATGTTTCATGTGTTTTGTGCCCAATGTAAGATTTTATGTTCTATAGTGGAAACACCTGCCACGGTTGTCTGCCTTATTCCTTCCCTTATTGGAGTGAATGCTACCTTCAATTACAGTTTTAAACTTCAAGTAACTTCAGTTAATGCAAGTGGAGGCCCTATACAACAAACAGTATTTCTTAATGAGAATGTTACTGATGTATGTTTATTTGCCCTAATTTCCAATTTATATTTGTTGTTTATTTTAATTGTACTTTATAAGATATATGATATGCTGTCTGCCTTCTGTGGTAATGAGCAAAATGTTCTAGAATAAAATGTCTCTTAAGATGCATGTCTGCCTTATTAGTTTTCAGTGATTTTTGGTTTACATATGAGAGAAAACTGTGTTCTAATATAACTTCTAATTCATAATCTTATTAATGTTTCCTGTTATATCCCAAAGCTGCTTCCCTGCTCAGTTCTGGAATGTGATGGTATTAGACTGTGCTGATTAAAGTTTTATAGTCACCAAATCAGATTAGCTATTGAGTCACCTGACTAGGTAGGGCTAGGAGTCATGTGATCCAGTGCCCTGCTGAGCTCCTGCTGGGAATTGAAACAAGGTAGTTTGCTTTGGAGATCATCTTAAGTGTCTAACAGTGTGAGCCATGGATTATGGCTGCAAAGAAGATGGCTTCATTTTCCTGATCTTTGAACTAGGGAGAATGGGATAAGTTTGAGTGTAGGATCTTCAGACCATTCTTTCCAGCAGATGGAAAGAATGTTTAATCCTGAGGTTCCAACCCTGAAAGATCTGGGGATTTTTCAGAGCGAAAAAGCTTAAGAACTCCTCATTACATTATTTCTTGGAAAGGCTAGGATTAGTGAGGAGAGTTTAAGATGTACCAATTGTTCTAATATTATATGAAACATTATATGATTTTTCTTTAGAAAGCATCTGGATGATAGTTAGATCTTCTGTGTGGATACTGAACAACAGCAATAAAAATTTGAATTTGTGTCAAATTTAAGCAGTTCTGTTAAAAATGAAGTAATTAAAATGGGGAAAAAGAATCAAATATATTTGACTCTGTGTCATATGCTGTGGAATATAAAAGATGACTGCTGGTTCAATAAATGTAGATGATAAATTGCAATGGTCATTTTGAGAATAACTTCATGTGCAGCTATTAAATATGTTTCTGTAATTTCAGATGATAAGGATTAACAGTACATTATTGCTGAATCTTGCAGAATAAATGGAAAAATAGTTGTAAATTAGATATATTGTGTTAATAAACCTCATACAAAATAGTGATATTTCATAGAGGCTGTTTTATACTGTTTTAAAAGAGAATGCCTCTTTCTGACAAACTATTAAAATAGTTGTAAGAGGTAAAATCAAGGAAAATAAGCACCTGGAAAAGAAATATTTGTATTATGGCTCTTGATAGAACGTAAAATTCATGACATTGTGTTCCACCGTCATATAATGTTTACTTCAAGACTGACATCTTTAACAAGGTGGGGAGGGGGAAAGATTGGTATTACTTTTTTTAAATGCCTAAGACCCATAAAGGCAAATGGTTGCCCTCCAGGATTAAAATAGTGTGTTGTTTCAGCATGTCACTGGGAAATGTGAAGAATAAATGTTGTGCGCTGATTGGAAAAATAGTTCAAGTGCATCAGTATTTTTAGAAATCTTTGTTTCTAGTTTGCAGTTGCATATCATTTTACATATTGAATTAGGTATTTTTAAGACAGGCAAATACAAGCTATATTACAAAATCTGTGGGAATTAAACCTTAGTAATTGAGGTCCTTTCTATTTTGTATTAGTATATTTGTATTAGCTGAAATACAAAATGCTTATTACATGTATTTTAGACGGTCTGAGTCACTGAATGTGTGTTAAAAACGTGCATACTAATGGAATTAATCTTATTATAGTGTGTTTTCCTAATATATTTTAATTACGAAGGTTAAGAATTGGCATGTTTCATATTTCGAAATGTCATGTTGTATGCTACTTTGGTAGGGTTTTTAGGCTTTAAGTGTGTTGTTCCAAATATGTTATTTTTGTTAAAAATGTAGAGTATCAGTAAGTGCCGGAATGCAAACAATATTTGCTCCTTGTCTAGATGTAGGATTTTACGCATGTTTTTTTGTTAAGCTTTTTTTGCAGGTTTTATGATGTCTCGGAGATAATGGGCACTATGACAAATTCTTTCGGAAAGCACCTGAGGATGCCCAAGTCCAGAAAGCATTTAACCATTACCTTTGGCATTCTTTTAAGGTTGTAGCTCTTCTCTGCTTGCTAAATTATTATTATATACTTTTCATGCTTGAAAATTTTCCTTTTAATTCTTTCTTTTTTAATCTAAAAAGAAAGTCTTTCAGAAAGAAGTCTGCAGTAGTTTCTAGATTTAAAAGTAAACCAATTTTGGGAGGTGAAATTTTTAGTTGTGCTGCCTCACCTGTCTGACCTTGCTTATGTAAAGGAAGTGTTGCTACTAATTATTACACTGTGGTCTAGAATGTGTATTGCTGGTGGTGGTTTTCAGATTAACTTCCAGCAGCAGGTTCTGACATGCCTGGATGGTAAGGAAAGGCATGCTAGATTGGAAATGTTCTTATGCTGGAGTAACGCAATTAACTGACAGGTCGTTGCAAATAAAAGCTAGAAGATTGTGATGATGGGATTTCTTTTCTACTTGCTTGCACGTAAGGATGCAGTTTCCTCGGGAGTGTCGCAGACCAGCTTTTCAGTGTACTGAGCAAGTACCTCTGTACCTCAAGTATTCTGATCACCGTGGCTTTATTAGGTGTATTAAACAGGTAAATTAATGCTAGCTTGGTTGTTCAGGCACTGCCAGTGTGCAAGTAACATGAGGCAATATAGAGTTACCTAAACAAGTGTACACCCTTGCCCTTATTTGCTGTTTGATCTTAAATTAATGAGCTACTCAATTTTTAGTCTGGTAATGACATGCAAAAGAGCACTGGATGAGTAAAGATGCATGCAGGTGTGTTTTAAGGAGGTAGGTATTGTAACTTCAGCACTATGACTAGCAAGAGCTACTGGCTTAGCTTAGTGCTGTTCCAGTTCTTGGATTTCCA